GTCATGCAATTCAAACACTGTGTTCCGTTTATAAGCTTCTTTAGATTCAATACAAGTATGTCTTCAAATCAATTAAATCTGCTTTTAACGAGAATATCTGTATCCTTTTATTATAGGGACACTCTTTTTCTACATACATGTATTCTTGCAGTATCGAAAAATATATTAAAAATAAACCTGCGCTAATACTGTAACTTCTGCATTCAACATTAAAACTTCTGTCTTTTGCATCTGTTTCGTGAGAACGAGAAATTCTCGACCAAACTGTGTTCTTGGTTTTCCAAGTATTTTTCTCTCGTTATACTACGAACCGTTTCCCTGACACGTATCATTAATATCGATCCTAACATCTTACATGTAAGAAGAAATAGCCTCTCAACATTTAATAATGCCTGTTGGATTGTGAACTGTACTTACCGTAATCCTGTTTGCCGTATACACCATCCTGATTCGAGTAATCTGGAAACATAACGAATGACTTTTACTGATCTTTTAATGGAAGGTAATTCAAACAAACAAAGTATATAACGTAGACCAGAAAAATCTATGAACTGAAAAATTTCTAGTTATATGTATGGTTATTTCATTCGACTCTAATGCTTTCCAAAAATTTTCTACTTCTTCTCTATACCAACCTGATGGTGGTGCTTTGCCATAACTATAAGGATCGCCAGTACTGAAAGCTCCTGTAGCTGGAACGGTAGGAGCTCCGCCATACCTATTATCAGCTGCTGCCGATGGTGCATAGCCCTGGACAAAGACAACATCTTTTGTTAGTACCAAATAATTCATCACATTACACATAGCTCGTGCAAATCAACTAACCGCTGTTTGGCCATAATCTGGAGGCTGTTGGTAACTTTCATAACCTTGATACGATGACTGAGTGTAATTTTGTGAACCATAGCCTCCACCATATCCCACTGCTTGCTGTTGCTGCGGCTGTTGTTGACTTCCACCGTACGCGTTACTGGTACCTCCTCCGTAGCCACCTTGACTGTAACATTCGACGAGTAAAATTTTAATTTCAAATCACACGTGAATGAATTCTGATTCAAAACGAAGGAGTGTACCTAGGTGGTTGAGTTGCATAACCATTCGCAGGCTGAGAAGATGGCTGATCGAACCTTGGTCTCTTAGAAGGTCCACTAGAACCTGGTGGACCTCCTCCTCGTTTCGATGGACCACCGCGTCCACTGCCACCCCTGCTTCCACGATCTCCGAATCCTCCTCTACCTCCTAGACCACCTCTTCCCGATCCACCCCTAAAATTTACAATGCGATTTAAGAAACAATTATGTTTGTTTCATCGAGGAAGAGATTAATTTACTTTTAAATAATTTCACGATACTTTATGACTAATGTATAACAAAACTGTGTTTCTCTATGCTTTGGATATTCACATAAGAGCGTAGAAAGTGAAGTTCTACCGTACTGGAAATTACAAATCATACCTAGATCCCCCTCGACTGCCTCTGTCCATTCCTCCTCGCCCTCGGAAATTACTACTACCTCTACGACTATCTCCTCTTGAGAAATCACCCCTTCCTCTGCCACGGAAACCGCTGCTTCCACCGCCTCTGCTGCCACCGCGTGGAGGTCCTCCCATTCCTGGTGGGCCCGGAGGCCCGCTGCCACCTGGACCACCAGACATTCCTGGTTCTGGGGGACCTCTGTAATTCCAAGATGAATTGCATAATTTGTCACCAAGAATTCAATAAAATAATACACCTAAGCGACGTTCGTATGTATAACCTACCCTGGAGGGAAATGTCCGCCGTGTCCTCCTCTGCCAGGAGGACCTCCTCTGCCTCTCATTCCAGGCGGTCCACCTCTCATACCACCACCGGGACCACTGCCACGACCACCACGCATCATACCTCCACCTCTTGGAGGTCCACCCCTTGAACATCACCGAATATATAATTAAAGTTTACAAACCGCGTATTTTTTAAAATTATTCTAATAAAGATCTCTGTACCTTCCTCTATCTCCAAAACCACCGCGTCCTCTCATAGGTCCTCCTGGGCCACCACGGCCACGAAAACCACCTCTACCAGCTGAAGCACCTTCCATTTATTTGTCTGTCTGAAATTTTAAACAAATTAACTAAAAAGTTAAAAGGCAAGGAAAATTAAAAAACATTATTAATACATGCACAGTACACACGTAGAAATCCTAAACAAAGAACGATACTTCGTCGTTAGAATTAGCTATCACCCGTTTTATTTCTAAAATCAGCCTATTGACGCTATCTAGTATGATCAGTAAAACTCAAGTGTTTTTTCTCTTCTTTCTTGTTTTTCTTAATAAATCGAGAATTTCAACCACAACACAGAAGAAACCCGTGCACCACGTACGATTCGCTCCAATAAAAAAATACTTACAATTCACTGGTCGACAGATAATCCGTTCATAAGTAAGAAACGCGCCAACCTTAGACAAGCTAACAAGGAAAATGGACGCCGGTTCCCGGAAAAAGAAGCATCGACCATTGCCACTCGAATTACTATACCGACATTACCGGATATCCTTCCCTTAAGGCACATTTTCATGAGAGCATTTCAATCACAACGTTCGGCACCACGGGTGATGGATAATTTACGAGAAATGATAAATATTTATTTTCTGTTTACTTATCAGCCTGTATGTGTTAAGCTAAATTAAAAAATATATTAATAAATTTCGTTTGTGATTAATATATCACTCTATTGCTTCCAGAAATTAGCATTACGCATCGAAGGTTTTATGCAAATTATTTATTTAATCACTATGAATATCCGTTGCAATTTATGGTTATACAGTGTAAACAACTTTAATCAATTTAATAATATTTTATTCATAATTGAAATCTGTTAACTTTCACGGAAATGTCACAGTAAATTAAAATTTACGACCATAATCGTGAATTTTAAGGTGGATACGTAACACCGGATAGAACAAGGAATTTTTTTTTCCAACCAAAAAATTTTAGGGATCTTTTGACTCGCGTAGCATAGGGAATAAATATTTGTAGGATTGGCATAATGTACGGTTGAAGTCTGATTGGTTACGAAGTTGGGATTTAAATATTGAAATCCGTTGCTTGTCTTCCGTGGGACAAAAACTGTAGTTTGTATTTCGGAAGATATTCAACGGTGGATACGCAAATCTTTTCGTGTGGCATACATTTGACGAATTTACGGCCCTAACAGGAAATTTTACTCGTTATACGATACCAAATAATACAATCGAAATGTCGAAAGATGAAAAGGAATGTGTTGTTCCGGACATTATATGCGACATACTCTCAGGAAAAAGTTACATCAAAGGTCGATTTTTTGGAAAGGTAAGCATGTACCTATTTTGTTTCCCTTTCCCGTTTTGTTTTATTTTATTCGAAGTCTATCATGACAAAACAGTTTTTCTATTTGATCATACAGATTTCGTGTGCCTTAACACTTGTTGCTTTAGACATTCTGAATTGTATGAAACCTGTGCTAAGGCATGGTAATTCAATACTTTATTAATTCTATTTTACCTTTATAGTAGAAAATGTACAGATTCCTGCTATTTAAGTTTACTGTATCAAATATTTCCTAATAGATACACGTTAATCGGAGTTTCTAGTTCTTCTAAAGTGCTAAGAGTATATTACTACACGCTTTTGTAGGGAGGTTTTGCAAAATGTTACGAGATCAAAGAAACAAAATCACACAGAGTATTCGCTGGGAAGATCGTGCCGAAAGCTCAAATTACAAAAAGCAATCACAGAGAGAAAATGACTCAAGAAATCTCAATTCATCAAACTTTAAATCATAAAAATGTGGTTGGTTTTTATGGGTTTTTCGATGATCCTCAGAATATATACATAATTCTGGAATTATGCCGCAAAAGGGTAAACCATTTTAATGATACTTTCACGAGCGCGTCGTCTGTAGAGGCACATATATTATTAAAGTAGTTGTCTTAATTTCCAGTCGATGATGGAATTACATAAACGCAGAAAAGCATTAACAGAATGCGAAACCCGATACTATATGAAACAAATTTTAGATGGTGTTCATTACCTGCACCAGAATAAAATAATTCACAGAGATCTAAAATTAGGAAATTTATTTTTGAGTGACGATTTACAAGTTAAAATTGGTGACTTTGGACTAGCCACTAGGTTGGAACACGAGGGAGAACGAAAAAAGTAATGCTTACATCTGTTTCAATGCGTACCAAATTATTTCAATTAGATCAAACTTATCGTTTTTGTTAATAGGACTGTGTGTGGAACTCCTAATTATATAGCACCGGAAATTTTGACTAAGTCTGGCCATTCTTATGAAGTCGATATATGGAGCATTGGATGTATCATGTACACTCTACTCGTGGGCAAACCGCCATTCGAAACGTCCAGCTTAAGGGAAACTTATGCCAGAATTAAGCAAGTTCAATATAAAATTCCTGCACACATTAATACAATTGCCATGGACATGATTTCAAATATGTTACAAGGGAATCCAACCAAACGCCCTTCTATAAATAAATTAATAAAAGATCCATTCTTTACTTGTGGTAAATATAAACTTTTATCGGTAAACGGTATTGAAATATTGTTAAGAATTTGCAAATAATCAATTCAAAATTTATTACAGGTTACATGCCACTGAGTCTTCCGCTGTCGTGTCTAACGATGGCTCCTCGTCTAGACATGTTAGAAATGCATAATCAACGCAAACCATTATCTGAAATGAACACTAATGTAGGAGGGGAGAGACAAGACTTTATATTTAGAGTACCTAATAGTCCAGGGCGTAAGACGAAGCCTGTGGACGCAGTGAATGAAGTCCAGAAATTGAATTATGACATTAAAAAGATGCTTCAATCATTAAGAGAGCAGCTGGCTGCAGTATTAAAGGCTAATCCAAGTAGAGAATCTACACTATCAGAAGGTATTTCTACTGTAACAATTTTTGAATCAAAATTTCATTCGATCAGGCATCAAAAGCCATCCCTTTGAATTTGTTTATCCATTGTGCATCATCCCAGTGTATATTTAACAATACGTAGTACTTAACTATCAATCCAATTTAAATTGTACAGATGAAATGACGGATCCTGCTGCGCAGCCTGTTATATGGATAAGTAAGTGGGTTGACTATTCAGACAAGTATGGTTTCGGCTATCAGCTTTCCGATGACGGTGTTGGTGTTATGTACAATGATGGCACCCGGTTAATAATGCTAGCCAATTGTTTTAACATTCATTACATAAATCGCGAGGGAAACGAGTTGTATTACACCGTCAGAGAATACCCGCCAGAACTGGAGAAGAAAATGAAATTGATGAACTTCTTTTTGAAGTACATGAAAGAGCATCTAATGAAAGCGGGAAGTTCTGTCGCTGTGAAGCCGTGCGATGCTATGTCTAGGATACCGTACATGCATCAGTGGTTCAGAACGCAGAGTGCTGTAGTTATGCAACTGACTAATGGAACTGTGCAGGTAAAGAAAACGGAAAATTCAGTGTTCAAGTTTCCATTAAATTAAATAATAATCAAGAAAAGTGTATCGAATTTAACGTTATCAATGAATATGGTAAAGTTCGATACACTTCTCCTGATTATCATTTAATTGAACGAAAACTTGAAACGTTATTAACGTTATTAATGAATATGGTAAAGTTCGATACACTTTTCTTGATTATTATTTAATTGAATGAAAACTTGAAACGTTATTAACGAATACGGTAATCTCCTTTGCAGATCAATTTCCTGGACCATTCAAAAATCATCATGTGTCCGTTAATGGGGGCTGTCACGTACATAGACACAGAAAAGAGCTTTAGAACGTACAGATTCCAAACCATACAAGAAAACGGATGCTGCGAGGGTTTAGCGAAGAACTTGGCATACGCCCACGAGAAGCTCGTACTGATGTTATCGAACCCCCAGACCCGATAATCGTCGATGAGAATTTGTTAGGATGAAGCACTATTAATGCAGTATGTCATAGAAGTATCGAAACTATCTTTTCTTTGTTTTTAATAAGGATAACGTCGCGCGTTCGGCGACGAGCAGATGCAGTTAAGTAATTATTTTATTTTTATTGTATTTTGTAGAACCGTATAGAACCCTTTTTACTAGATATTTTTTGTTGTAACATCCGAGTAAGGCGATCTACGAATCATGAAAGCGAACTTTAAAGAATTGCAAATGGAGAGCAGCCCCCCCTTCGACGTAATAAAGAGAGGGCCGAAATTCTGTTCCGTTCTTCTTTTTCTTTTATTTTTACGCAGCTGACGATGAAATTGTGGTTGTTATCTATTGTATAATAACTCGTACTTTGACATAATTTTACGGATAAACAAACATTAAATCTAAGTATCTTCCGCCACTACGATACGTGCACGTTACTCCGCACAAATACCTTGGACGACACGGCTAGCAAAGAGTGAAAGCTCGCTCGCAGATGCCGTCGTATTCCGACGGAGTAGTGCAATCTAAACATTCGTCTATTTATACTGATATTCAGGGAGAACAAGCGGCCTAAACTTCATTAGTCCACCACCCCCGGAGAATGATTATATATTTTTCTACCCTCGATTGACCAAAGTTTCGAGTCCGCTAACGTGTACAATATACGTCCATGCGAATCGAGCGTCGTCTAAATATAT